CGGGCTCAAGATATCGTTGAGCGAGGGGAACACTTACCATGGGAAATGAAGTTGATTGGGAAACCTGCTGCCAAACACCTGTTCTGGATGTTGCGCTGATCCAATTTGTGAATGAAAAATGGTTTTCGGTTATCGCCTCAATCTGGCACTTTGTTTCGCTTTTGTCAGAGTTATCGTTTCTAGTTGCTGCTGCTTTTGCTTTTGCTGTTGCTTTTGTTTTTGCTTTTGCTTTTGCGATGCAGTTGGTCTTGCTTGTGCTTCTGCTGCCGCTGATGCTGATGCTACTGCTCGCTGCTGCAGCTACTGCTTCTGTGTGGTTGTGGTTGTTGTTTAATTAGCAATACAAACACATTAGCTAATGCACACACGAGGCGGCACCGACACGGACGCGGACCTGCATAGACATGCACATGCACATGGCGCCCACGCGGCGTGCCAATAGCAAACGCGTTTATTGAAAATGCAACCGTGCCGACTGCTACGACTGCGCACAGAACTTGAGGCCGCGCAGCCGCCAAAGAGCCAACCCAAAAATTCAGGTAATACCAAGCTCTAAACGCAGCACCCAACGAGAGTACTGGCACAACAAAAACCAAAAAAAAATAAAAACACCGAGTATTCTAAAAATCGAGCAAATACCGAGTGCACTGCTGCACATGCACTTTGTTTATTATCTGCTCGTATTTTTCTGCTGTACCAGCGACTTTACCGAATCCCAAGGCGAATAACCGTTTCGTTTGAGCGATCGAAATTAACTTAAGTAACGGCAAGCTTGCGCGGGATCCCATGTTAAGCAGAGTGACCGTTCACGGTATTTTTAATACGCTTCAGTATTTTTTTAGGTCAAAATCCACCCGACGGTATATTTACGGTATATCGGTATATAATGGTATATTTTGTCAATTTCATCAATCTATTAAATTTCCTTTTCAACGTTATATAGAAATCCAATAAAAGCAATTATTTAAATTGGTCCAGTAAGGTAAAACATTGATTCATTGATTGGATAAAATTACGTGGGCACGGCTGAAAGATCTATCTAGCTAGTAATATTCGACGGAAGATCAAAAACCAGCAATATTTAAAATAGAACTTGATTTCGTCAGTATATTTCTGAGGGCCGGACGGTATATTTTATCAATAAATCCGCGGTCACACCGGCCAGAGCCGCAGCTTCGCCAACGACGTAAGTTTGAATGAAAACATCGATGTCGATGTCCATCGATGTTGTCAAAATCAAACATCGATGTTGGATTGACACATCGGATTGATTCTTCGATGCATCGATGTATGACCGACGTTTCAAAACTTTCCCATTTGGTTATAAAACGAATATTCAACAAAGGAAGAATTAAACTTGTTTGTGTTTGCTGCTTACAGACGACAAATGCGCAATGATTTGAAATTAAACCGCAAAAACACCGGAAAACATCGGTAAGCATCGGCAAAAACATCGATAAACATTCATCGAAGCACTGCCATCTCAATTTGATTTAGTTACGTTTTACTTACGTTTTCTTACGTGTTATGCTGCTGGCAACATTCAATTTGTATGGGCCAGACTCATGTGCCGTGATGTCGAGCAGCACTGTCCCACAACATCACGGGGATCGAGCAACATTTTGCATACCCTGGGGAAATGGATGTTATAGAACTGAGAGAATGTTTGTCATCTAATGCTCCAATAAAGGCCAAAATTAGTCAGTTTCTGTTTTAAAGGTATTTCAACGATATTTTGAAGGTTTTGGTCTTCATACAGAAACCAAGAATGGGTATCGAGATCGAGATATATTTACAAAACCCTAATAATATGTATTAATATGTCCAAAACATAACAATCCGAGATCATTTCTATATTAATTGCGGTTTTAAACAGCTTGGAAAAACAGTGTCTTCATAAATATCAACGAAATAGGGTATACCTGTGACCAAACACCGGTTGACGTGACATTTCATACTCCCTTACGTTACATTCCATACTCACTTACGTTGCTACTGTTTTTTTGTTGTCATTTTTTGCTTAAACCTTGTTTTCTACACTATACAATAAAAGAGAGTACTTAAAAGTAGTCAATCAGGTAGAACATTTATTCATCAACGGCCTAAATTTATGTGGGCAAAGATAAATGTTTTAGTTAGGCAGCATTATTCCACGGAATAAAGAAATTGAACAATTGGAACGATTTTTCTCTTACGTTTTATTACGTTTCATTTGTTTGACCATTTTCGCTAACACCTTTTTTACGCAAAATCCAATAAAAGCAAGTACTTAGAATAAGTCAGTTAAGTAGAAAAATGATTCATCAATCGTATAAAACTATGTGGGCATAGCTAAATGTTCAATATAGCTAGTAATATTCGACGGAATAAAGAATTGAGCAATTGGAACGGTACTCGTTTGTTTATGCTACTGTTGTATGAGCAAAAGTGCCTTGTGCGTCTGCCTACAGTGGCTTCAAATGATAGTAAGTCCTGATGTCACAGGGCACTCCCAAAAACAACCGCTGTTCCACGGCTATTCCGTGCTTTCCACATTCTTCGCATTTACAGTTAAAGTCGAGCCACAGAGTCTGCAGTTGCGAAGCCAAAAAGACCGGCGGCGCCCTGTTGAAGCTGTGGCCCACTCTCCGCTCTGCCTCAGCCCCCAGACCACCCCGGAGGTGCTCTACACGGACTGTTCATCAACAAGTAAGTGGCACAAGAGCAAATCGGGCAAAACATTTCAAACCATTAATCCGACCACAGAGCACACCATCGCTGAAACTGGCCTGGAAACTGGGAACCACACTGGCTACCGGCAACACCATCGTCCTAAAGCCAACCGATCAGTCAATGTTTTGCCTGGCTTCGGTGGAGCCAGCGCTGCCCTGGCCAATCACGCGGATGTCGCCAAGGACGTGCCCTGTATCCCCCCAGCTACGCTAGACTGCCTGAATGTGTCGCTGCCGGTGTCCGGCAAGAATATCCGTGCCCAGGTGAGGCTCTCTCTCTCTCTATTGAGCTGTGTTCTAAAACGTTTCCTCTTTTAGCTTATTGGGTGAACTCGCAGAAGTTATAGACATCAATGGAAAGAACAAGTAAACAACCATATTGGACTCCTCTGGACACGTGTTACCTCCTCTTCCCTCTCTACAGAAAAACCCTTGCTTCCATGCACATCTCGCAGGTGATCTCGCATTGCTGCTTTGGGGAGATTTGTGTACTGGAGAGGATCACTGTCAGCGGAGAGCGTCAAAATAAGCGGCCAGATAATTTAAAGTGGCGGGAGTAGTGACATGAACAACGACTGTAGCCAGTGGCTCAAGCACCCAAACAGGACACGCCCAAGCAGATCAATGAGATTGACTACACTCAGCCCAAGCCCAAATCTGTTGATTTCTTTGATGACAGTCCACCGTTGAGTCTTGAGTCTTTAAACAGTATCTTCATATTTTTAAAGGTATATTTAAGAACAAGGGGTATAGAAACTTCCATACGAAGATTTTTGAATTTTCGCTATCTCAAACCGTGCTTCCGTGCATCATTTATTTCAATGGATTGCCTTTCGCTTATTCACTTTCAAACAATTTCTGTTTGGCGCCTCAGTTTGAAAACGAGCAGCATTTCCCGCAACATGGGCAGCATTCTACTCTAGGTAAAAGGATATTATAGAATAGCCGCAATGTTTGTCATCCCAGGCTCTAATTAATGCAAAAACTATTCAGTCTCTGTTTTAAAGAAATTTAAACGATATTTGGCAATTAGTGGTCTACTTACAGAGAGCAAGAATGAGTTTCGGGATCAGAATATATATGTATGTATACAGGAAACTAATCAAATCTAATCAAGTCTAAGACATATCAATTTGAGAAAATTTCTTTATTAATTACGTTTAAAAACAGTTTGGAAAACAGTATCTTTATATAAAATGATCGAAATTGGGTATACAAATACCCATACTTCGGTTGAAAGCAGCATTGACGCGACAATATTGCGACTGTTTTTTTGTTGAACTTTTTTGCTTAAACCTTGTTTTAGCCAAAATCCAATAAAAGCAAATAAGCCAATTAAATAGAAATTAAGTTCATTAATTGAATAAAATTATGTGAGCAGGGCTGAAAGATCTATCTAGCTAGTAATATTCCACGGAATATCAACATCGAGGAATATGATCTCCAATCCTTGACGGAGAACGATTAACCTATTGTAAACCAAGGGGGTATTTCAATATTCCAAAAATAACGGGGGGCTTTTTGAAGTTCAGAGGAAAGATGGCACGGATCTACAAGAAGAATTGACAATCAGTAATATTTTCCGCCACTTACCTTAAGTCGTGGAACTAATTAAACAGAAGGGGCTTTTCATCGGTCTATTGGTCTCGATCCTTCTCTGTTCCTGTGCCCTGAATGCTTAGTCTGTTTTTCAATACCGAATGAAGTCAATTGCAAAAATGTATTGTATGATTGGATATTTGCCAACAAAATGCTTCGACTCTGATGTAATAATGAAAGCAATGGCTCAGGCGGCAGAGTCTGTAGTTTTCAGTTTCACTTTGCCATTGAGGCAACATAGTCCAGGCGTTTCTGCTGCAAGCTATAGGAATGCCCACAAAGAACGATTATTGCGCAGCATACTCCATTGAGCAATCGTACTGATTCAAATTCGGCGTCTCTGTATATCGATATATCGTGCCACAGTCAACTCTGGTTGACTGATTTGATGCTATTTTTTCAAATTTCAGCTAATTTGTAAGCCTATTTTTTAATTTTGACAACGACCTTGTACATTTTGTACATTTTGTACATTACAAGGAACAGTCGAGTCGAGTAGAGTCTGTTAAATGTGGTATGAACGTCTAGATATTAGATATTTTAGGATATAAAATGGTTAATGATTACCATATGGAAGTGTTTGCTATCTCAAGCGATATTTATTTTCAAATGTCCTAAACCTAACTCGAATAACGTACATACAACATTTCCTCGCTGGCACTCTCCACGCCAGTCGAGATTGGACTTCACTTAGAAGCGTCCCTGGCCCTGACGCTGCTCCTGGTGGGGATGCGTGCGAATGTATTCGAGGGACTTCAGGATGGCAGCGGGGATTGGGGGAGGCGTGGGGAGATGGGCACCGACGGGGTGGTAGCCGTTCTCATCGGCCGTGTAGGTCAGCTGGACCAGCTGGCCGTCGGGGGCGTAGTATGCGGAGGAGCCGCTGGCATAGTATCCGCCAACTCCCGACTCCTGGCCGGCAATGCCGTTGGAGGTCTGGTACTGGTAGTTGTAGCTGCCGTCCTCCTTCAGGTCGCTCTTGTACTCCCGGGTCTCGGCAGCCGCGTCGTAGGCGTCTGGACGTGCTTGGGCGCAGGCAAGGGCCAGAGTGGCAACGATTAGGATGAGCTGGTAGCAAGAGAGGTGGTTAGGATGGCGATGGCCTCTGACGCTCCTCCACTTTGGAGCTCCACTTACGAATTTGTTCATTTTGGATGTGGTGGGACTGAACTGGCTGACTGGCTGACTTGTTGTCACTTGGAACTCGCAACGAGAATGAATGGGACTGAATTGGTCTGGCGGCGCATTTATAGCGTTTTGGCACGCCAATGATTTCGGGCCTGGCAACGCACCTCAAAGCTGGCACTCGGCGACCTACGGCAACAACAACTTTTATAATTTTCAGCATTGAACATGAACTGCCCTCCCAGCCATACCCCGACCCGGACCCAGACCCAGACCAAGAGCCAGACCAAGAGCCAGAGCCAGGTCCGACTCTTCTCTTCCGTCGCTACATATCTTTTTGGTGATTGGTTTTTGGCAGAGCGCTCATAAATTTCGGTGCTTCCTTTGGTTTCAGCTGCTGTCGACTTTTCGCCGGTTAATCAATTCCGAGTTCTGTGGTTGCGGCTGTGTAGGGGATAACATTTCATTAGCACCTTCCCGAACTGAATAGTTGGCTTTTGTGGGGCACTTAGCACAATTTATAGCGGAGTTGGCCAAATATTGCATTTCGATTTCGTTCGATTTAAAATGCTTTCGTGCGCGAGCAGACAAATTGTTTAAAAGTGGAGAGGAGATTGGTTTAGGTTTAGTCCTTGAACAAATGTCCCAGCTGTCTAGGTTCAGGGACCGGTCATTTATTAATGTAGCAGGGAAACCCGCAAGACCTTTCTCTAAAATCATATGCGAAACTTTATAATAAATCGTTTGGCGAATCGGAAGAATCGATTAAGAATCTCACATGGTAGGTCAACGCATTCATTTATTACAAAATCATCCGTGGCACCCCAAAACTGAAAAGGGAAGGCGCCACGAAGAAGAAGCGCAACCAAAGGTCCCCTCAGCCATAACCTGCCTCGCCGCAACCTCAACTTTGCAGCAGACGAACGACCTTGCCACGGCCGACATTGGAGCACTGGCTGATGATGTCCGAAACTAAGGCATTTTACGAGGCGAGGGGAGCGGGCAAGTTTGTATTAAGTTTTGATAGGAAAACTCGAGATGTGGCACCGTTGGCGTGCCTCACGTGACTCGCATGGCTCACGTAGCTCAGGATGTATGGAGTTTCTGACTACACTCAAAAATAGGACGAATAACTAGTGAATGTAAATATAAACTAGGAAGGTTCCATCTCTATGCTATGGCCTCTAAGAATCCTACCTTATCCTGCATTTAAATTATAAAAATGCTAGTTTCCACAGAGGTTCGAATGACCATCAACGTGATCCTTTCGTTGATTGCAGTCATAATAATAATAATTATACATAGATGTCCTTTTTTATTGTTCATACAAAATGGATTAAAATTTAAGTTCCTAATACATTAAAATATGTGATTTTCTCTATTCAAGGTTAATCCTAATCTTATTACTTGGCAACATATCATCACTCCATTAAACTCTTTTGTTTTCTTTCTTCGAACTTGTATCTGAAGTTCAGAGTGTTGTGGAATGAATGATCCAATTTTCAACCTTTTTTCGTTAAGCTCTCGTCAAAGCTCCTGTTGAGGCACTTCCGTTGGACGGTGGCTGCCGTGTGTATGCCAGCCTTTCCATCACTAAGTAATGCGCCCAAAAGGCAGACACAAAATCATCGACAGCAACAAGAGAAGAGCGCATGCTGTTTCGCTTATAAGATTTGTGTTCGCATTTTATAAATACATGGGTTGGTTGGCAACAGGCTGGGACCCATACCCAGATTGGAGCTGGGACTGAAAATGGAACTGGCACTGGCACTGGGACATGGCCTGAAGGAAAGTGAATGTGCTGGCAGCATCGGCATCGACATCAGCAGCATCAGCAGCAGGAGCATCGGAATTATCTGCTTTTTTCTGCTCTCTGTTTTGTTGGCCTTTTCGGTGTTACTTTTGGCTTTGTGCTCGAAACCGGCTGTGCGGCAATTCGGTTTTTTTTTGTTGGTCGCCCGGCACAATTGTCCGGTGCCTGCCGCTTGGGCGGCTTTAAATGAAAGCAAAAGTTGTTACGTTTCGATGGCATTTCCTTGCGCCTTAAGCCGCTTCCGCTGTACTTAGTAAACCGCCCGCCTCTGCCTCTGGCACTGGCACTGGCACTGCCACTGCCCCTGCCTCACGACCTTCCTCGTCCCATCCGCCTCCTGCATCCATTAGGGCATCAATCCATCTTCACGCGCATTAACCTGGACAAGGGACAAGCGAAAAGAGTACTTGCTGAAGAGTGCGTTGAAGAGGAAGAGGCGAGCCGAGCCGACCCTTTGGACGGGACGTCCAGGCTCCTCACGCTCACCTGCTCCACATTAATTGACCCACATTCGGTGGCAGCGACAATTGCCGTCCAGTCCGGTTCAGTCCCGCTGAAGCTGAAGGTCACCCAGGCGTACCAACAGAGCAGATACCTTCAGATATCCGCCTTCAGGTCTTTGTATGTATTATACGACCACGCGCAGACAGGCTTCACTGTCGCCAGAGATTCGGGCAGGTCAGCGATTGCCATTTGAATTTTAGTTACTGCTCTACATTCGCATTCGCTCAACTAAGACATTTGGCAAATTTAATTAATTAAAATATTGTCAACATCTCGCCCTTTTTCCGCAGACGTAAAAGTGGATTTCCCTTTGCAGACCGCGTCTGCAGACTCGTTGGCCACGTTTATGGTCTATTTATGGAGCTCCATTCATTAGTTAGTCATCTCGTCTCGTCTCGTGTTCCCATACACAGGCAGCTCCCGATGTAATCGTCTCAGATCTCAACCAGAGAGCGTTGGGCTTGGGCTTGGCGGTGGCGTTGGCGTTGGCGTTGGGCGTGGAAGGTCGGTCCCTTGGGGGGTTTTATTGATAGACGACGAAACAAAGTCAACGACTTTCGAAAATCTTTCGGCCACGACCTTCGATTGATAGAGACGAAATGTGTGTTCACTAATTGTTTGTACCAGTAGTTGCAACTTTCATTTCGATTCAGTTCGGTTCGGTTTGTCTGTCCGTCCGGGGATTTTAGCCAGCCGCACTTGCAGGCCCAATTTAAATTAGCACAGGGCTTTATTGAATAACTCAATTACTTCGACTCCATCATTTAATTTATGTATGTACAGCGTCGCACACGTGCATTCATTTCTGGTTTGGCCAATCTTCGCAGCTGATGGATTTTTAATCCAAACTTGATTCAATTTGCATGTTTCAAGTCCGTCCCGCCCTCCAATCGGGGCTATCTCCACTGTTTCAGATCTTTGGCCATTCATTTGCGATGGCATGGTAATACTAATTGATTTGACTCGTGGGCAATGCAATAAAAGCTTTGAACAATTCAAAGCAGCTTCGAGCAAATTATGTTTTATGGGCGCCTCATTCGGATTTGCATTTATTGCTGGCCGATCGAATAGCACTGCGACGAGACATTCATTCAAAGTCTCTAAAAGGAATAGGAATCTAGTTAAGAGAGGCACTAAAATTGATTTCTTATGTGGAAATAATGATTGGCATTTAGTCTAGAAGTGTTTTTGTCATTATCCTTGCATCGTCGAATATAAATTAAAGTCAGTTTGCAATTGAATTAATTTATCGAATTGATTCAGTTGCGATTCGAAACTCGCTTGCAGAATGCCCGAAATAGAAATCCTTCGGCAGACATCACGGCAGATTTGTATCCATGACCTACATATCCCAATCCAAAGATGGCAGAATTAGCATGGCATTTTCCTCGAACTGAAACTGAAATTGAAATGAGCTTTGTCTGTGGGCATACCTGTTCAATGAACTCGAATTTGAGGGAAGTGAAGCGGCGGTCGGTTGGAAATTAGCAACAATTTGCTCGAGGGTAGATGTTCCATCAGACATTTCACGCCTCTCGCACCCACCCACATCCACTCGCATAGTCCATAGGGAGGGAGTCCATATCTCATTATTGCAGCCACTTATCTCGATCCGCTCCTATTGTGCCACGCTCTATAGCATAATAAATGTTTGGGAACCTCGGAACACATTACGGAGTTCGTAAATGCGAAGCGAGTGGCTCATCCCGCAGCTCGTGTTACATGTATGGGGTATATGTATGCCAGAAACATATACAGATACCGATGCAGAAGCAGATATACAGCGTAGTTATTCATAGATAATTAATGAATTAACTCAAACACTTAATTACTCAAGTGCCGGCAGCGGAGAGCAGTCGAAAGAGTTTCTTGAACCGCAGTGGACCAGCAGTGGACCAGCAGTGGACGGGTCATCCGGACAGGTCAGAGTTGTTGGTTTCGTTTTCACTCAGCGAGGCATTCATGAAAATCAAAATGGAAATGGTGGCTGATTGCCTTTGCCCAGCCACCTAGAGCCGATCCGAGCAGAGATAATTGGCGTTGCAACCGTTGCTGGCTCTCGGCTAAAAACTCCAAAAGTGAACAGAGTGTATAGCTGGCTCTGAGATGTGTTGATGGAACCCCATCATCATCATCATATCATCTCTAATGGTTGCACACACTCACTTTCCTCACTTTCCTCACTTTCGTGGCAGATAAAATCGGATTTACCATTTCCAGGCTATATAAGCGGCAGGTCGAGGGCACCGAGGCATCAAACATAGCTTAGCTCTTAGGGTTAAAACAACAATAAACCATAAACCAAATCTCAACCTAAGCCAGGCGAAAATGTCGAAGATCGTAAGTCAAGAGAATATCCTTCATCCTCCGGAGTACACTTAACCCATCATCATTTTGCTCTGGCAGCACGTTGTCGTTCTTGTTGCTGCAGCATCCGTCCTGATGGCCGGAGTGCGAGTGCTGGCCCTCCCCTCGGACTCGGCCGATGCCCACGCCGAGATCCGCAGCTTTGTCAACGAGCTGAAGCAGGAGGATGGCAGCTACAACTACCAGTTCGAGACGACCAACGGCATTGCCCAGCAGGAGCAGGGAGTGGGCGGCTACTACGCCTCGGGCTCCTCTCAGTACTACAGCCCCGAGGGCCAGCTCATCCAGCTGACCTATACGGCCGACGAGAATGGCTTTCAGCCGCAGGGCGAGCACCTGCCCACGCCACCACCCATCCCGGAGGCCATTCTCAAGTCGCTGGAGTGGATCCGCAACCACCCAGAGGAGAACGAGGAGTACGAGCACCACGACCAACACGACCAACACGGTCACGGCCATGGTCATGGCGCCGAGCAGGGCAAACAGTATCTGCAGCAGGGACAGTCGCAACAGCTGCCAGTGGGCTCTCTGCTAGCTCCGGCCTCAGCGCCGGCAGCAGCTTCTGGTCTTCCCTACGAGAGGAAGATTTAAGTTATTCTCGCCCCCAGCTCGGGCCCAGCCCTGTGCTCCCATTCATCTTGTCCATCGGTTGGCTCTAAAGTGTGTGTGTGTGTGTGTGTGTGCGAGATGTCATGTCATGTCTGTTTGCATAGTCAAAGCATCCAGCAAACAGCACCAGCATCCAGCAAACAGTACCAGCATCCAATACCAACACCAATACCAGCACCATCACCAGCACCAGAAAGAACATCAGCTGAACTACATCCTCGAAGCACATTCACTCCACACACACACACAAATTGTATATATGTTTACGTAGTATAGACCCCACATACATCCACATCCACATCCACATCCACATGAACATGAACATCAACATGCTGCTGGGCCGCTCGCCTGCGTGTCCGTGTCTGTGTCCGTGTCCGTGTCCGTTGTCGGCTCGGCTGACGTTGACATTTATTGCCAGAGATAATAATAATGTAATAAAAGAAAAATACAATTTAATATTGTTGTTTATACTATGAATGCCTCTGCTCCAGCTCCGGCTCCGGCTCCAGCTTCAGCTCCAGACCCAGCATATGGCCGGGCCTTGAGCGACCAGTTCCCTTCGGGTCCCAGCTGCCAGCCAGCCAGCATGCATCTCGGTTCGAGTGTCTCTCTGCTGAGGTTTCCCTTTAAACAAAATGTTGGGGAAATTCAATTTAAAGTTCATAAAGGCGCGCTTTTCTTTTTTACTGCCATTGCATACTCGTATCTGTATTATGCAAATTATCGATGGCGCTTCGCGTCTCAGACTCGGACTTGGACTCGGACTCGGATGAGAAATGTTGCAACTTTAAATTCGAGTATTATTGTTGTGTTGATTAAATTAACAAATTGTTGCTATTGCTGTTGGTGTCTCCGCTTGTTGTCGCTGATATCGATACGGATTGTTGTGTTTTTTCGGGCGTTCCATTTGATTTTGATGCATTGAGGTTGTTTCATCAGCTCCATCTTAGCTTTTCAGGGTATGCAAGGTATGCACACTTTATCAGAAGTCAAGACACACAGGATTCCAACTGGGATTCATTTACAATAGAAAACTAAGAGCCAGAAGCTAGAAGCCCTCCCTGAGGAGGAGACAACTCTGTAATTTTGTCTATGATAAACAACCAATGTTGTTGAATTGGTAGATTCATTTGATATACCAATCTTAAAACGTTGAAAGAGTGTGCAGCATTCACAATACCTTTTCGCGCCACTTCCATTAATGGCTCGAAGCGTGTGGCCAAAAGCTGTTTGATCGCCGAAATATGGGTCAGTCTGCAGCTCGGCTTATTTAAATACTCGGAGTCTGCAGTGCCGACCGACGCTTTGTGGAGAGCTTTGTCTATCTGAGCAGTATAAATAGTAAATGGACGGTCGAGTGGCACAGTAGTAACCTCAGATTCCCCAGCCCAGCCACATCATGTACAAGCTCGTAAGTGGATAACAGAGTCTGGCTCCGCCACCGCCTCCCCTCCGACTAGCGAACGATTTAATTGACTTCCTTGCTTCCTTCCCTTCCGACAGCTGCTCCTTGCCGCACTTTTGGGATGCGCCCTGGCCGCCCCCATCAACGATGATACCATTACGAAGTTCCTGTCCAACGCGGATACGGACGGATCGTACGGCTACAGTGTAGAGCAGGCCAGTGGCATTGCCTTTGGCGAGCAGGGCCAGGGCGGCATTGGAGCCCGCGGCTCCTACTCCTACATCTCGCCCGAGGGTATTCCCGTCCAGGTTACCTATGAGGCCGACGAGAATGGCTTCCGCCCGCAGTCGGAGCTGCTGCCCACCCCTCCACCCATCCCAGAAGCCATCCTGCAGTCCATCCGCTACATTCAGGAGCACCCCACGCCCGAGGAGCTCGCCGATCGCGCTGTGCGTGCCCAGCAGATCTAGATCTGGTCTCCCCTCGTAGTCTTAAGTTTGCCTAAGTGTCACCCGGATAACGTATTCCCCACATGTCCCACATGTCCCACATTCCATCAAAGTAAACGAGCGTAAGCTGCCCCCCCGATAAGCATCAGCTGGTGTTAATTTCCATGATTTGCCCAATCCAATTCGCGCCAAGGCGAAACCTAATTAGTGCGCTTATAAAGGCCTAAGCCAGCAGCAGCCGAAATCGCTCGGTCCGGACTCCGAACTCCGGAGACAAAGCCCAGCACTGTGCGGCTTGAGCCCGAATATTGAATATTTAATATGAGCACTATTTTGGATGAGTGCGCGCCAGAGCCAGCGTCCGGATACAATGGAGCCAAGCACAATGGTACAGTGGTTCGAATTTCTTGAGCTTGAACATGTTTTTAGTTCAAATCGATCAGAGCAGTGGGATTGCAGGAGAGCTTCAGTACGACAGCCAATGGAGTTAGAATTTTCGAGATAAATATGCATAAAATGGAACAGCCCTTATGGACTAACATCCAACTCCGACTCCGACTCCGACAAGCATCTTCGCAATCAATCTTCTTCTGCCCGTGTCGGAAATAAACCAACATTCATGTTTACAGCGGATGAGCCGAGATTTCCGCCACTCTGTGCTCAGCTGTGTCGCTGTCTCCGCTCTTCCTCGCATATTAGCGGCCCAAAGACACACAATTTTCGGAGGCGGAAAGTCAAACGAAAGTACCCATAGAATACGAGTATTCCCAAACGCATGCCCTGCCAAATTGAAGACCTCGAATCACAGACTGGTGGCAGTGTGCAAAGGGAGCAGAGATGGTAGCGTGGCTGGCTTCTCATTAACATTTGACATGAGGCACGTTAATTTTTGCTTCGACTGCGATTTCATCGCCGGGAATTCGATGAGTGCCTGCCTGTCGCTGGAAATGGAAATTCATTAAGACACTTGGAGGCACACACTCGGCAGAAGACCCTGACAGAGACCTCCCATACGACACGCACATAGCTCCATTGAAGCGAGCGTGGATTTGGGGCAACACAGGACGTAGACTGCTACGAGTCCCCATATCCCCATATCAATTAGGCACGCTCCTCGCCGGATATGAGTAGTTAATTAAAAGGATTGGGGAGGCACGGAGCGGTAACGTAACGAGCAATGTACAAGGTGCTATAAAATTCGACTTACTGAAATTAAGATACGCGTGTAGATACTTATTTCAGCACGATTTTTGGCTTTTATATCGGTCCCTTCACTGCCAGCATTTATGTAAATTTTCAGGGCACAGAACACCTCGTTCTCCCGTGAGGGCTGTGGTTCCGCCCGTGACAGTGGATCCGTGTGGCCACTGCGGTCGCCACTTAACACAGGTGTTTTAGGCTCCGGGTTGCTGACGACAACACAAAGCTGCTGCTGTGTAATCAAAAACTTTTATTCATAATTTTCATTTACATTTTGTTTAAAATCTAATTATAAATGCGCTGTAAGAATGTGGCTCCTCTTTTGTAGACCCTTTGGGCAGGAGTATTATGATTTTTAAGTGATGTTTGCAGCGGCAATTTAGGGCCCACAAGCAGTGTATTCCAGACTTGCATTTAAAAGCTGTCATCTGTGAAAACCAATAGTGTCCCAATTTTGTGCATTATTTAATAACGAATCAGCTGGAATCCACACAACGGCCGCACAACAGCCACGCAACAACTACAAAGCCTTTCAAGAACATGGCCTGATAGCCCTGTGCCCTTCCCGGGGATATGGCCCATATATAACAGCATCAAATAAATGGGGCAATAACCCTAAGCTCAGTAACCGTGCAATTTATTTTTATAGAGCGTATAAACTATGCACAAAATTAGCTTCTGCGCTCGTCGTTTATTTGCCCATAACTCAACCAACTGTAGCGCATTCGGCTCCCTGTGTGGCTCCAGTTCCCCAATCCCGAGTCCCCGAGTTCCCGAGCTCCCGAGTCCTGACTCCCGACTCCCCACACCCAGGATAGACAGATAGAACTACCCTTTTGTGGCCATTTCAATGTAAATACATTTATGGAGTGTTCGGGCTACCTTTCTATTTGCCGGGAGTGGGAAAGGGATTGGGAAAGGGAGCGGGAGCGGGAGCAGGGGTGGGTCCAACAGCCACATGTCCATACTTAAGCAGCCCCGAACAACGGCGAACAAAGTGGAAAAATTACTTTGTTTGCGGGCCTCGGAACATGGTCACGGCATGTGTCACGTAGCTGCCAAAATATGCGAGCTAGTGCTCGAAAATGACACGGAGCGGATCCTGAGTGGCCCCGCCCCAGCTCCAGCCCCAGACCCAAACCCAGACCCAGACCCAGACCCAGACCCAGTCCCGAACAAGTGGCACTATCCGGAAGAGACGAGCATTTCAATTAAGACAAACTGAGAACGAGCACTGGCCGAGTGCTGGAACCGTTTTATTAATAATGGTTCCCTGGAAATTAAATATCTTTAAAAATACTTCTGGGCCTCCCCCGCCCCCAACGACTTTAATGGCCGCTCCGCTCCGCTCCGTCCGGCTCACTTTTCATTCAATGTGCAATTTTTTTCGCACTCCGCTTTCCAAAGAAAAAGAAAAACGAAAAGAAGTGGATGGAAAAAGCGTTCACTGGCTGTATTAATAACAATAGTTCCGGCCATTTGCGATAGTCAGTCGGATAGTCGGATGGTGTGTCGGTCCGACGTGGCGATCGGAGTAACCGGAGAAGGAGGAGGGGCAGTGCACAGTCGACAAAATGAAAAATTATTTCAAACAATAATTGCAAAGGAAAACTTTTGGACAAACACAAAGAGTGGGATATCTGGCCAGCGGTGGATTTCAGGATTTCAAGGAAACGGTATAGGGCATGGGGCATGGGGCATGGGGCATGGGGCGTGCCAATGCCCAACAACTACACTGAACAGACAAACGAAACCAATTTATTTCCAAGTAAAAATCAATAGTCAAGACGAAAGGCGAAAGACGGAAGAGGGGACACCAAGGGGTGCAGGGGGGCCAACTAGCGTAAAAAACGTCAAATTCAAGAGTGGCGACAAAAAGCTGTGTGCAAGAGTGTTGGCCCATTCCCATCAACATGTGAACGTGAACGTGAAGATGCCACCACGTTTCGTGGGTTTGCCGGACACACTCCTGTCCACTTCTCAATAGTATTCACTCCCCGTGCAGTTCCATCCGTATCGGGTCTTCCGGGTTTCCGAAATCCGTTTTCGTTAACAACTGCGCCAAGTAGCGTCCAACAATAACGATCCACCCGCCATCCAGCGAAAGGGCAGCAACGAAGGGAGCTTAATGGTAAAATATGCATTTGACATGCGATGAAATACTCGTACAATAAAAGCCATTGCCCATTGCCCATTGCCCATTGCCTAGCCCTGCCTCTGCCCCTTCCCCTGCCCCTGTTCTTGTCCCTGTCCCAACCTCAAGACCGACCTCAACCCTCATCCTTCCGCTGTTTCCAAGGGGTTGGTTTTCCGTGGTCATTTGTTTAAAGTTCCAATTAATTGGGCCACATTTGTCGGGGGCACTCGGGCGGATACTTGATAAGCGAGAAATATTTCTCATATCAATTATGACAATTTGATTGCGGTCTGGTCTGCCTTACTTTTCTGTAATTTCAGTCATTTTATACCATTCAAATGTGGCTTTAATTGAAAAGTAATTACTTTCAAAGCTAGGAAAGAAGTTCTAAAAATAAATTAAGATATATGTATGTAAGTACGAGTATACACTTACATGAATTATGATTCTTAGAAACACATCGTCGCTGTAATTTCGATTTCATTAATATATTATTAGACCTGCTCCTAGAAAACGCCAACGCCAACGCATTAGGCTCTGTGTCTGTTGGCTAACAGCTACATATACACTCTGTTAGTTAACAGACCCAAACCTCTCTCAGGACTCCGTTTAATGGAATCACTTCTGGCTCGGCTCCTCAGTTGTTGGCTGCTGTTCGTGGCGCTACATTCCGGTCGCTCCCGACTCCTCTCCGGCTTCACAGCCGACTCCGGACTGCCTCGATTCCGTACGTAAATATTTGTTTGGTGAAACTCGTATCCTTACACCCAGGACTCACAGAAACTACGTTTAAAAGTTCACACACAAATTGCATTATTTTCGCGCTGCGATATATTGGCGCGTTTTTTACTTCGCTTTTTCTCTGCATTCTTTCTTCGATGAAAATGGAACAAAAGCGTAATATATACGACTACGGGTACGGGTGCGGGTGCGGGTATGGGAATATGGCGAAAAAAGTTTAGTACGATTGTTGTTGATGTGAATTTTGCATAAGGACCTGCCATGGAGTTGGAGTGAGCCACGGCACCCAGGAGACAGGGAACATGCTGGGGGAACTGTAACTGAAACTGGGAGCTGGGAGCTGGGAACTGGCAACTGGAAACGGGGGCCGTATCCATTCATATCCATATGTACGAGTACTGACTCGTACACACGTGGCTCTGGCTCTGGCTGTGGCTGTGGCAGTGGCAGTGGCAGGCGATACGCTTGCTGGTTTACTTTTTAAAATTTCCATTAAAAACCACTGGGTTACTTACGAGTATGAGTACTCTGCCGACCCGTCGGCGTGTGTGTTCGTGGATCAAGCAACTTGTGATTCTTAAGACCTGGCTAAGTCGATTGCCTGAGGCTTTGTGGTTCCTGGGTACTACCTGGAAATTAGTTGAAAGCACTCTGATTTACAGCAAATTTAAGTGTATTAAGGCATTAGGCCGGGGCTCCGCTCGAGGCGCCCCATCCTTCCATTCATGTGGGCAAAATGTAATTTTCTTAGCACTTTTGTTCACGCCCGACGACACATGTTGTGGTTCACACACTAACAGGCGCCCACAACACACACAAAAACACACACTGACACTGAGTGTCTCTCAACCCCACAAAGACACTGATACAGTGCCTCCCGGCAGCATTTACATACTCGCCTAAACATAAGCATAAGCGCAACTTAGCTTGCCAAACTTTTCTG